AGCGGCCGCGCTCAGGGACCACCCCTGCGCACCCCCATGGTGTCGAGAAAGTGCCGTGCCTGCTGTGCCTGGATGCCACCGCGTGCATGCTGTGCCTGGCCGACCGTCGTGCATAGCGGTCGAGCTCAGGGACCACCCCCTGCGCACCCCCTGTGGTGTCGAGAAAGTGCCACGCCTGCTGTGCCTGGGCGAACCGTCGTGCATAGCGGCCGCGCAGCTCAGGGACCACCCCCTGCGCACCCCGCCTGCTGTGCCTGGACGACCGTCGTGCATAGCGGCCGAGCTCAGGGACCACCCCTGCGCACCCCCTGCTCGAGAAAGTGCCACGTGCTGTGCCTGGACAACCGTCGTGCATAGCGGCCGAGCAGTCACCACCCTGCGCACCCCCTGTGGTGTCGAGAAAGTGCCACCCCTGCCACGCTCTGCCGTGCCGTGCCCTGCGCGCCTGCCCTGTGTGCTATGCTGTGCTGAGCTGTGCTGCGATGTGCTGTGCTGTGCCGTGCCGTGCTGTGCTGCGGTGTGCTGTACTGTGCTATGCTGTGCTGTGCTGTGCAGGTGTGCTGTGCAAAACTGCCACGCCTGCTGTGCCGTGGACGACCCCTATGGCGTCGAGAATGTGCCGCACGTGCCAAGACGTGTGTGTGTGTGTGTGTGTGCTGTGCTGTGCTGTGCTGTGCTGTGCTGTGCTGGGCTGTGCTGTGTGCGCTGCGCTGCGATGTGCTGTGCTGTGCTGTGCTGTGCTGTGCTGTGCTGTGCTGTGCTGTGCTGCGCTGCGCTGCGCTGCGCTGCGCTGCGCTGTGCTGTGCGCGTGAGGAGGAGGGGGAGGAGGAGGAGGGGAGGAGGGCGGGTGTGGGTGAGACGCGGGTGCGGCGCGGGTGGGAAGAAAACCAGAACCCCACGAAGCATGTGGGGAATAATTCCCGCGCCCTGTCTCAGGTGGTATCATAATTGGACTTGGAATATGAGTGGCATACGAGTAATGAGGATAAGCATACTAATAAGAATACTAAGCATACTAAGAATAAGCATACTAATAAGCATACTAATCATAATCCGAATACCAGCGATAACAGTAAGAAGAAGAATAAGGCAAATCAGACTACTGCGAAAAATAATAGTACTAATAGGAATAATACTAAGAAGAATACTGATAATAGTAAGAATAAGAACAAAAAAGATAAGACTCAGCGTAACAATAATATTAAGAGTAAGAATAAGAATAAACATAAGGATAATAATAATAATCCTAATCAAACTCTGGATAATGATCAGAAAGAAAAATAATAATAATGAGAACAAGAATCATAACCACAATTAGAATAATAATGATAATAATGATAATAATAAAATAAGAATACGAATATCAACTGTTTCGCATTCTCTTCACCATCCTTGCCCTATACATGTGGATTGCCACCCCTGTTGAAAAATTGTTGTTTCCCGGCCGTCGTGTGGGGTAGTGCATCCGAGGATATCGCCCCCGCCACGCACGGCGCGTTATCTCAGCACCGCACCCGCACAACATAATCAAAACAGCTTGCCCAAAAAAACAAGAAGTACAAATACAAACAAGCATAAGACTAATACTAAGAATACGAATGCGAATAAGAATAAGGATAAGAGTAAAAATGCAAAAACAGACGGGCTCCCCTGCTTCTTTCCTCCCTTCCTCATGTTCCCCATGGTTTTCATCATTCTTGTCTTATACGATGAGTATTACCACCCTTATTGAAAAATTGTGTTTCCCCTCCGTTGTGTGGCGGCGTAGTGTGTATCCGAGGATATCGCCCCCGCCACGCACGGCGCGTTATCTTAGTACCCGCACCGCCAAAATGATTTGCCCCCCATCGTAGGCACGGACGGTTCCTTTTCAAAGCTGGGCTCTCCCTTGCGTGGGACTTAATGTTGCTAGTGTTGAACATTGTTGGTATGTTTGATGTTGATGTTGTTGTTGATGGTGTTGCTGTGATTGGCCTTGTCGTTCTAGTTATATGTATTATTGCTGGTTTTATTGTCGTTCTTCGTGTTGGTGCCGTGCCGTAAGGGGGTCTTGAGGAGGAGAAGCAGGAGGGCTTCTTCTGTTTAGCTGGGCCAAAGCCTATTGACTGAGGCCTTGGCCCTCGGCTTGATCCGTCATTGCGAATAAGAACCAAAATGGTTACGGGGGAAGGAGGAGAAGGAGGAGGAGGAGGACCCCTGATGAGGAATAGGATGAGGAGGACCCCAATATGATCGACCCACGAACCCAGAAAGGAGTATAGAAATGTAAGGCATAGCAACGTTTCAAAGACACCTGATTGGGCAACGGGCAAATGCAATACTTAATGTATCGATCTTGATGTACTGTGCCGAGGGCTGTGCTGTGCTGGGCCGTACTGAACTGCGATGTGCCATGCCGCGATTGTGCTCTATATAGCTTTGTGGATCGAGTCCTCCCTGGCATCCGAGTCCTGACCGAACTGATCTGGATCTTAAGCTCGAGCTGCCTGAGCAGATGTTAGCTGCCCCAGAACTGATCGACAGGGGGACATGCCAGAAGGACGCGCCGCGGAACGTCCAAAGGGACGCGCCAGGCGACGTGCCAGGGGACGCGCCATGGGGACGCACCGCGGGACGTGCCATGGGGACGCGCTATGGAACGTGCCAGTGGACGTGCCGCGGGACGTGCCAGGGGACGCGCCGCGCGACGTGCCAGGCGGACTCGCCACGGAACGCGCCAAGGAACGTGCCAAAGTGCAAGGTTGAGTGTACCGATCTTGATGTACTGTGCCGAGGGCTGTGCTGTGCTGGGCCGTACTGAACTGCGATGTGCCATGCCGCGATTGTGCTCTATATAGCTTTGTGGATCGAGTCCTCCCTGGCATCCGAGTCCTGACCGAACTGATCTGGATCTTAAAATCGAGCTGCCTGAGCAGATGTTAGCTGCCCCAGAACTGATCGACAGGGGGACATGCCAGGAGGACGCGCCGCGGAACGTCCCAAGGGACGCGCCAGGCGACGTGCCGGGGGACGTGCCATGGGCACGCACCGCGGGACGTGCCAAGGGGACGGGCTACGGAACGTGCCAGTGGATGTGCACCGCGCGACGTGCCAGGGGGACTCGCCACGGGACGCTCCGCGGAAAGTGCCAAGCAACATGCCAGGCTGCAATTCTAAGGGTATCGATATTGATGTACCGTGCCGAGGGCCGTGCTGTGCCTGGGCGACCTGGACACGTGAAAACACGCGTTTCGCTCAAGACGTTCTCAGCACATCCTCATGCTAGACATCCGCCTGGGCAGCCTGGACACGTGCAAACGAACGTCTCGATCGAGACTTCATCGACAGACATCCGCCTGGGCGACCTGGACACGTGAAAACAAGCCTCCGGTTCGAGACACCCTCAACACATCCTCATGCTAGACATCTGTATGGGCAACCTGGAGGCGTGAAACCAAGCGTCTCGCTCGAGACATCCTCAAGACCTGGGCACGTGAAAACGAGCATTTCACTTGAGAGATCCTCTGAATTCAGGTCCCCAGGAGAGGACAATCTATGATACAAAACAAGCGTTTCGCTCGAGACATCCTCAACAAAGTATGAATAACAAGCGTTTCGCTCGAGACATCCTCAAATGTTAATTCGCCGGCTCTACGCGACCTCGATATTCATCGCAAAAGAAATTCGCCGGACCTACAGCCGTCAGATACGAGGGTAAACAGCTAAAAGAGAACCCTGGGCCTAAGCCCTTTCCGGGAAAAAAGGACGAGGAAGAAGAGGAAGAGGACCCCTGCTCGGAAGGCCGAGCGCTGGGAAGACGCGCGGCCACTCCAGTTCTCGCCCAGACCGATCACATGACGCAAACTCATCTGCGTCCAGAGCAGTTTCTGAGGATGTCTCAGGCGAGGCGCTTGTTTCAGAAACGCGCGAGGCCATATCGCGAGAATGTCTCCGGCGGCTTGCTTGCTTCGGCGAGCAGACTCGTCTGCGTTCACATACAGGTGCGAGGTGCCAGGGTAACGCTTCTGGGGTGCCGGGTGCGTTCTACTTTCGCCGGAGAGGGGGGGGCTCTTAATTGCTTGATGCGACTAACTATGTCTGTGTGTTTTTCCCCCTCCTGAAATGCTGCGGCGCGGGCCGCGCGGGCCGCTCTGGAAGCCCTTTGAGCTCCGCTGGGCGACCGGCGCGGCCAGCGCCGCGGAGAGCCGCGAGGCGGGGAGCGAGCGGCTGCCTGCCGAGGCCTGCGCTGGCGACTTAGCGCCGCGCAGCTGCAGCGCTGAAGGGGCCCAAGGCAAGGACACACAAATAAATACACACAAATAACAGGATTCTCCTATATGTTCATATATATATATATACATATATATGTATGTGTGAATATGTATGTATTTACTTATTTATGTATTATTGATTTCTGGGTGTGTCTTCCCCCCCGTTCCCATCTTTCCCCAAATTTTTCCCTGGGAGTCGACGATCCATTGCGTCTGTGTGCTTCTGTCCCCTCCCGAAGCGCGCCGCGCGCCGCGGGAGTTCGCTAGAGGTGGAGAGAGGGGCCTCGAGAGGGAGGGGGAGGATCGGAGGAGGGCCCCCTCGAGGCAGCGGCGGCCCGCTGCCTAGCGTGTTGTTCTTCCGTGCTGCTCCGTGGTCGGGCCTGCTGCGACCTACCCACCAAGACCACCCCAGCCCAGCCCGAAGGCCCGAGGCTGACCCGAATTTCGGGCTTTGGGGGGGGGACGGGTTCCATGTGTGTTTTCAACGTTCCCCGACCTCCCCCCCCATGGGGGGGGGTACGGATTCCACGTGTTTTGTCAACGTTCCCCGACTTCCCCCTCCCCCCCCCCGGAAATGGACGGCGAATTGAGGCCTTCGGGTTGGGTTGGGGTGGTTGTTTGGCAAGTGGTGAGTCTGGATCGGAGGCTTCCCGTCACCACGGCTGGACCCGCCTCTGAAAACGGGACAGGCCGGTCCCCAGAAGGGGCCCTGGGATGAACTTGGAGCAGATCTGGACTGGGTGGGAGAGCCGCCATTGTCTCAGCAGGACCTCCTCCGAGAGGCCCCAGGCCCGGCAGCTGAAGGGAGAGCTGCCAGGCCTGCTGGATAATGTCGGGGCACTGGGCCGCCACCGAGAACCTCTCCGCCAGCCTGAGGCACTCGGAGCCCTGGCAGGCCTTCCACCGGGCGTCCGGCGCCAGCCCGCTCGTGACCGTGGCGTGGATGCTCGCCGCCAGCGCGTCTCTGGCGGCGGGCTCCCCAGCGGACTCGCCGCCCGCGAGCAGCGCCAGGGGCCCCGCGCCCGGTGCGCCAATGGCCCCGCGGGGCAGCCCGTCCGCGCTCGAGCAGGCCGCCGGCGTGCCGCAGGCCAGACACTCCAGCAGGCCGGCCGGCAGCGAGCCGGCCGGGCCCGGGAAGACGCCCAGGTCGGCCAGGCTGAGGAGCCGCGCCAGGCCGGGGGGCCCCTGCGGCTCCACGAGGTACACGTGCTGCGGCTGCGGCCCCCTCGGCGTCACAGCGGGCTCCCCGCGGGGCCCCGCGCCGCCGGCGGGGCGCGGGGGCGCCACGACGACCGTGCAGATGTCTGGGCGGGAGGCCTCGTACATCTGCGCGCCCCGGAGCACCGCCGCGAGGGCCTCCTCGTCCACGCCGCCCACCACCAGGACCACGTGGCTGTACCTCTCCGCGGGGATGGGCTCGAGCTGCGCGGCAGGGCGCACGGCGCGCACCACGGCGGCCGCGCCCTCGGGCAGCCTGCCCGCCAGCTGGCCCAGGCCCGACCGGACGGGCCCTGGCACCCTCTCCCGCAGGGCCTCGAGGTGCCGAGGGGCCTCGCCCCGCAGCCAACCCACGAGCCTGCCCTGCCCCTCCGACGCCCTGGCCCGCAGCTCCCTGGCGCCCAGGTGCAGCTGCTCCAGCCCGTCCTGCAGGACGTCGGGCAGGTCGTCGCGAAGCTCGTCGCGCGCCTCCCTCAGCTCCCTGGCCGCCGCGGCGCCCTCCTCCCGGAGCTCCCTGGCCACCAGGGCGCCCTCGGCGCGCAGCTCCCTGGCGGCGGCGGCGCCCTCCCCGCGCAGCTCCCCGGCGGTGGCCCGGAGGGCCTCCACCCTGCCCTGCAGCCGCAGCGAGCCCCGCCCGACGAAGCCGAGGGCCGCGCCCAGGCCGCCGCCGGCGCGGGCGGCCAGAGCCGGGAAGTCCCGGAGCGCCTCGGGCCCCTCGCCGCGCGGGCGGAACACGAGCGAGCTGTACGCGGGCGGCGCGACGAGCACCCTGCCGCTGTCGAAGGGAAAGTGCCTGAGGAAGCCCCGCTTCGCCTCCTCTCGGGGAGACGTCTCAGGCTCGGGCTCGGGGAACTCGGGTTGGCCTGGCGAGGCCGTCAAGAGGATGGCGAGACCCAATCTGAGATTCGAGGTGAGCTCCCGCTGCAAGCATCCCAGGAAAACTGGAGCGTCACAAGTCAGGGCGGGCTCGTCAAAAAGCGTCGGCAAACCCGAGGTCCAGCGAACTCGAGCCTTCTGTTTCCCCGATCCTCGGACGCGGCCACCACGGCCGCGAGGGTCCGCCACGACCCCACGCTCTCCAGCAGCGGCCCGAAGCGAGCGGGGTGCTCCTCTGCGCCCTCGGCCTCCAGGTCCAGCAGCACGGCGTCGGGGCCGTGGCAGAAGGCGACGACCGGGGTCACGGGCTTCCCCTCGGAGACCCTCCTCTCGTTGGCGCGCTGCATCACCACGGGGCTCCAGAGCACGTCGTGGACGATGGCAAAGTCACAGGGCCGCCCCCGCTCGGCCTCGGCGGCGGCCAGCTGCTCGCAGGCGGCGTCCTCGAGCGCCTTCAGCAGCTCCACGACCTCGTCGTCCGAGAGGGAGTGCCAGCCCGGCGCGCCGGCGGGCCCAGCGCCGGGGAGCGAGGGGAGCGCGAAGCCCACCCTGGCCACCCTCACCCCGCCCTGGCCTGGGGGGGGCCAGAAGGCATCGGCTCCGCTGCTTCCACGGAGCACCGACCCGGGATCGACGACACCACGCCGGGGCCAGCTCAAGGGGGGAGCATCGACCTGGAATCGGCGATACAGCGCCGGTGGATCAGCGGTAGGCCCCCGATAGCGAATCCGCGCACGGTCCTGGGCGGGCGGGGGGGCTATCGGGCCACACATCGGCGATGAATGATCGATTGTGGGTCGATGCATCTCCCCCTGAGCCAATCCCCCCAATCGTGGCCCCAGATCCACGGTCGTCTCTTGGGGTGCATTCTGACCAGACCAGAACTTCGAAGAGAGTCTAGCCGCCATGAGATCCGACGTCACGGACAAATCAAAATAACGATCGTGAAAAGTCGAGGCTGGAGCCCTAAACACAACCTTCCTGTGATTTGTTCGAGCCAAATCGATCTGTGCGGGTCCTTGCACCCGACACCGGCTCGAAAAAAATGCGACGCCAGGATCTCAGGGCGTGGGGACGAGGGCTCTGCAGGATCAACAGCGGTATCGCTACCGTTTCCTCCTCCGTGGACCGGCGCAGACATCGTGCACGGCCGAGGGGTACACGGAGTAGCAGCCGCCGCAGCCCTCCGCGCCGCTGGCGGCCGCGTGGTAGGCCTCGTGCGCGACGCCCGGCGCGGAGACCGGCTCCTCCGGGCAGCGCCAGCCGCAGGCCCCCAGCTGGAAGACCAGCGGGGGCGCGGCGGGGCCGCTCGGCGCCTTGGAGCCGTGGCAGCCCATCGCCGCGGCCGGGAGGGGCCGGGCGGAGGAGCGGCCCTCCCTGGCGCGATTCGTCCTTGAGCCCGTGGCTCATGTTCTTAGTTCTTACTCGCGGCAACGCCTGTGACCGGCCCCGACCCCCCCCGCCCTCTCCCCCCCAATTGGTCACGCCACGCTCCGCGCCGGTGCCGTGTCCGAGGGAGCCATTCCTGCGCGTTCCCAAGCGGCGCCTGTACGAGCCGTGGCGTGACCGCTGGGCATCACATGAGATAATTACGCTCACCTTCGGACCCCCCCCCAGAGGCTTCTCGTCGTCACGGCTGGATCCAGGGCTCAACCTAAACGGTGTTTCTCGTCTTCGTTTTGTCTTCGTTTCTCCTCGTGTTGTCTTCCATCCGCCCCTACCGCAAAACGGAGTCGAAACGAACACGGCCCACGAGATCGCCAACACACCGTTCAGGTCCAGCCCTGGGCTGGGGCCTGGGGGAGGAGCTTGAGCGGGCCATGGTCCGGGCGGCAAATCGGGGATCGTCTGACCCGGGTCAATCCAGACCAGGGTCAGCAGGAAACCAAAAACTGCAATGCAGGAAAAAAAAAAAAAAAAAAAAAAAAACTGCAACGCAGGTCTTCGCAAACCGGGGTCAGCCAATATGCGCGGCCGCCTCGCGGCCACGAGCGGCTCGCAAACCCGGGTCAGCCAAAGGGGGTCTTCGCAGGATCCTGCAGGATCCGGTGCCCTGGCTGACCCCCGTTTGCATTGACCCCCGTCTCTTGAGCCCCGAGCAAAGCCGCCGAGGTCTCCGCCGGGATACAGGGGGCCCCTGACGCCGCCGCACCCGCGGTGGCCGGCACCCGCTCGGGCCAAAGTGGCTGCGGTCAGGGGCTGACCATCGCTCGGACGTCCATTCCCTGTGCTTTTTTCGGTTCCGTGCGTGTTTTTTTCGCCAGATGGTCGAGGATGCTCCTCGAAGGTCCTCGCCGAGAAAAAAAGAGAGAGAAGAAACAAAAAAAAAAAAAAAAACGTCCGAGCGATGCCAGGGGGAGGGGGAAGGAGGGAAGGCGGAGGCGGCGGGGGCCAGAGGAGGCAGGCGCGTCTGGTGCTGCAGCACGCGCCCCCGCCCCACGCCCTCGCACGACGAGCAGGCGCCCCGGGGGCCGCAGCGAGCCAGGGGGCTCCGACGGGGACGGCGATGAGGCAGGCTGCCATGCCACGGGGTCCAGACCTAGGAATGCTGGCCACGCATGCAACATCTGCTACGATTGACTACGATTCCTGGCCTTCCTGTATATCTATATATATATATGCATATATGTGTACATATGTATGTAATATAATTTAGTGCTTCATCCGCCGTCGTGCCTCTGGCACGAAGTGGAGTGCCCCAAGGCTCATGCATTCCTGAGAGGGATTGGCTGCTGCGGCTGCAACCATACTTGCAATTCTGTAAAGATCCGGACCCGAGCCGGCCCGGGATTTTCCGGGGTCTGCCGGAATCAATCGCGTCGGCCTACCCAGCCCAGGAGGGCCCCAAAACGAACCCAGATGGCTGCAAGAGGCGCCCAAAATTGTTACAGAGGGCCCAAAGGCACCCCAAGATCGCTCCAAGACGCCCAAGATGGCCTCAAGATGGCCTCAAGATGGCCCAAGAGGCCTCCAATGCGCCACCAAAGGACCTCCAAGAGGCTTCCCAAGAGGGCCCCAAGACGCAAACATTACCCTGCGACGCACCGAACCCATCGGCAACAAGGGAAAATATAAGGTGTGCCGACAATAGTGCGACAGCAACACTGCAAAAGACGAGTGCAGGGGGCTATCTGCGTTCGGTCTTCCTCCGACGCAGAGTGCGCGCGGAGCCAAAAACCTGGCGCGACCCGACACGAATGAACGGAATCTACTGAAGGTCCGAGAGAAGACTGCGTCAAACAATAAGTTGGGCATGGCGGAGAAACAGCTGGTCCGAAGGACTACTGCGTCTAACCATCCTCCAGGCGCAGGATAGCGAAGTCTTTGTGATGTGTGTGGGACCCCAGTGTGCTCCGCCCCCTCCCTAGCCGCCCTCGAAAGTGGCGACAATTTCGCACTTCGCAACCCCCCCCCCCCAGGGATGGCGAGATCTTCCTTACGTCTGCATGGGATGTAGCGCGTCGGCTCCCCCAGCAACCGTCAAACGAAGCAACAATTTCGCATTTCGCACCCCCACCAGGGATGGCGACGTCCATTTTGGTGCCTGCGTGGGAACCCACTGCGCTGGCTTCCCCAGCAGCCCTTGGAAGTGGACAGTTCCGCACCTCGCCCCCCCCCGCCCCCCGTCAGGTATGGCAAGTACTTTTGGATCTGCGTGGGACCCCACCCCCCCAGCAGCCCTCAAAAGTGGCGACAGTTTCACACTTCGCAACCCCTAAAGGGGTGGCGACGTAGTTGGTTGATTGGCTTCGAACACCCACTGTGTTGGCTCCCCCAGCAGCCCTCGAAAGTGGCGACAATTTCGCACTTCACACTTCTCGAGATGGCGAGATCGTGTTTGGATCTGCGTGGGACACTTCTGTGCTGGCTCACCCAGGAGCCTACAAAGTGGCGATTGTTTCACAGTTCGCCCCCCCCCCAAGCTATGGCGATGTCTTGTTGAATCTGCGTGGGACCCCGCTGTACTTTCCCCCCCCCAACAGCCATCAAACGTGGCGACTGTTTCGCACTTTGCAGCCCCCCAAGAATGGCGAGGTCTTTTCTCGATCTGCGTGGGGCCCCACTGTGTTGGCTCCCCCTGCAGCCCTCGAAAGTGGCGACTTGTTCGCACTTCGCAGCCCCCTAGGGATGGCGAGGTGGTTTTTGGATCTGCGTGGGACTCTACTGTGCTGTCTCCCCCAGCAACCCTCGAAAGTGGCAACAGTTCCACCCTTCGCAGCCCCCAGGTATGGCGACGTCGTTTGAGGGATCTGCGTGGGACACCACTGTGCTACCCCCCTAAACATGCATCGAAAGTGCCGACAGCTTCGCACTTCGCAGCCCCCCCAAGGATGGCGAGGTCTTTTTTGAATATGCGTGGGACACCAATGTGCTGCCCCCCCCCCCCCGCAGCCCTCGAAAGTGGCGACAGCTTCTCATTTCGCAGCCCTCCAAGGAAAGCACGACGGCAAGGCAGGCGACAACCAAGCCAAGCAAAACACGACAGGGAAGCGAGGGGGGACGGAGGGCGGAAGGAGAACGGAGCACTGGAGACTCTACTGCTCTATCCAAAACGAGAACCCAACCAAGGGAGGGTTGGGAATAATTGATGGTTCGAAGGTCTTTGACGGATGTGGGCGTTCTCGTCTGTTCGGCTTCCTGGCGCTCCGAAGCTGCCCAAGAGGCCCCCAAGACCACCCCAAGACGGCTCATGAGGCCTACAAGAGGGCCTAAGCGCGCCCCAAAACGACCTAAGAGACGCCCAAGACGACCCAAGAGGGCCCCAAGACGGCCCCCAACGGGGCCCAACTGAGGGAACACGAACCGAACATCCAACCCTTCCACCCCGAGAGGCCCTCAGGAGGCCGACAGGAGGGCCCAAGAGGCGCCCAAGAGGCCCCCACGAGGCACTCAAGAGGCCTCAAGAGGCCCCCCAAAAGAGGCCCAAGAGGCCCCAGAACGGCCCCCAAGCGGCGTCAAAACTATGTCTAAGAGACCCTCGAGAGGCCCACCGCCAGATCCCAACGAACATCCAGCAGGCTCTACATCCACAGCCCAGGCACGGTGGCGGGATGTGCCGAAGGCTATTCCATACACATAGACATAGAGGTGTGTGCAAATATATATAGATAGATCTATATATATATACATATATATACACACGTGTATATATATATATGTGTATATATATATGTATACACACACTTAACATCAGCCAGCGTGGACCCCAACAGCGATGTCTTGCAATCTACGCGGTGCAATCGAGGTGGCGCAATGGCCCGTGCCGCGCGGCGTGATGGTGTAGCCGATTGAATAATCGATACCTCGGTCGACTAAGCAAGGCGCTTGTGTAGAATCAGCTGCGTACTTCTTGTACGTAAGATTCACTGGAAGCCGTGTTTCAACACCACATGCCAACGACATGCTTCCTGACAAGGAGGGCAAACGAAAGGAGAGGCTGAATGAGTCGCAAAGGTGGGGGGAAAGAGGGAAAGAGAGAGAGAGAGATGACGGTACGAAAAACAACAACAGGCAGAGGCACGCAGGCCGGACTCGTGCATACATCTAACCGACGTAAATAAACATACGAGTATGTACTCTGGGTTTCTTCATAGGCCTGGGGGGGCCCCCCCCGACGGAGGTCAACCTCGCCTCGCCGTCGCGCCGCGACGGGGGTCGGAGCGCCTTCGGCGCGCGGTGGCTGCCCGCGACGGGGGTCGATGTGGGGCTGTCAGCGGGGGTGGCTTTTTTTTTTTTTCCATGCTCGGGCCATACGCACGCGGCTCTGGCCAGTCACCCTCCAGGTGGGGTGGCCCGACGGTGCCTGGGCGTGCCAACGGCGGGGACCCAGGGCAGAGACCGTCGGGCGGGTGGCCCCTCACAAGCGCGCAGCACTGCCGAGATGGCGGTGGGGCTTGGAAGGGGGCCTAGTCCGACGATCCCGAGTCGTCTTCGCCGAAACCCACAGGAGGGATGAGTTCCCCATCCTCCTCTTGGCGCCTGCTGGAATGCTGCTGGCGCCCTCGTCCAGCCTCGAACCTCTGTGGGCGAGGCACCGTGCGCGGGTTCGGCTGGCTCGGGAGTGGCATCGCTGCGCGCGCTGTTGCTTGCTCACGCTGCGCGCGCTGCTGCCTTTGAATTTCTGCGGTGTTGTACCGCTCGGACTCTGAAGCAAAAACGGCATATATTGGATGCTTGCCTGCCAGAAGACGATTTCTGACATTCGCACGTCCGCCACTCTTGGGAGGGCGTCCAGGACAGGTGGCAGGCAAGCCTCTGAAAGCATACTGGGCATAGCGCCCACAGACTAAACAAAAGACAACTGGCACGGCAAAATGCGCTATTGCCATCTGATGGCTGGCGTGAATGCCTTCAAGGCCGCGCCTGAATGCGCTGGCCAGTGGCTGGCATGCCTGTCTCTCACGTGCGACAGCGGCCTTATCAGATCGGGCGTACGTAAAACATGCTCTGCACCTGTACGGTATCGGCCCCTGAAGAACCTCCCAGTCGTGCACGACGATAGTGGCCTGAACCTTACAGGGCAGAGCGGCTCTCTCGCACTTGTGCCTGTTGCGCTGGCATAAGGCGAGAACTCTGGGCGCATATAAACCAATCGCTCGAGCGGCCTCTATTTTGCGTTGCAGCTCCTGCAGCGCTGTTGGGTTGAAACTTGGGTGGCAGTCCACTGCCACCTTCGCCATCTTGTCCGCTGCTGTGTTGATCTCAGCAGCGAGTCTGGCCTCTCCAGCCAATGAGTTCACATCCTGATGGCTCTTGACCTTAGAGGCCGTCTCGAGGTGGTGTCTGCTGTCCCGCGCAAGCGCGAGCTTGTGCAGGCCTGAGTACTTAAGCTTACTGCTGAGACGTGTCGGCAGTGGCCTAGCGTGCTGATCGAGGACCGCTTTGCAGTCCACCCAGGCCTTGGAAGGTTTGGTGAGGGCCTCCTGGAGAACCAGGAAGCCCATGTGCTCCCCAGCCTGAGATGTCTGGGGAAGGTTGGCAGCAACAGCGCCATAAAAGGAGGCCTCTGGGGCCCCGTCGGTACTGTAAGCCACTACCGAAAACGTCGCTCTGTCTAACTCCGCTATGCCTGTCTTGGTGCACGACCCGTCGGTTCCCGTGAGCCCCCCGAAGTGCGGTACCGTGTCTGGCTGACCGTCGTGTCTGACAAATCGAACAATGGGCTTCTCCCTGGGCAGCGGAAAATCATCATGCTGCTCCCCTGGGTGCTCGAAGAGACCGAAGCAGTACAGGGGGCTGTTCTCTGGCGCCTCCAGCGCGGCCTGCAGAACGTCTGGCGGCAGCAGCTCTGTCCTGAGGGCGACTACCTCTGGATGTTGGCAAGAGAAGAGACGATGGTGTATGGTGTCCCCGAAAGCTTTACAGAGCGGGCATTCGTTAGGCACAGCATAGCCTAGCTGAGCGAGTTTTTCTTCAGTCCACCATCCCTGGACCACGAGGGTTTGGAGGATAGCCTTAAACCTGGGAGGTAACTTCTTGCTTTTGGGGGAAAGCAGAGAACGAACAACATCAAAACACACTCTCTTCATGTGGGTTGGGCTGGGTATGCTCTTAGCGGCAATAGATTCCCATCTCCTCTGGCATCCTTGGTGAAGCAAGTCGGAAAGCAGGCTCGGCGAGGTGTCAGTGAGCCTGGCTGTCCTGCCAAAGTGGTCCTGCAGCGTAAATGCGGATGTGAAACTCCAGCCAATACGGTGAAGCGCGTGAGCTGCCGCGCTGAGTGGTCCTCGCACGGCGTTATAACTCAATTGTCCTGCTGGCTGCACGCGGTTATAAATCTGTTTGAGCTCGAGCAGTCCAAGGGTCCCTGGGGTCACATACTTGCCGAGGGTGGTGTTCCACACTTCCTGGGCCCACCTGAGGACGGGCCCGAGGGCCCAACGGTCGGCCCTGGACCCCGTGAGGGCAAAGGCCGCACTCCTGGATTTTTTGGAGGAGCAAGGAGTGATTTGAGCAATCTCAAGAGATTGCAGCCTATACAAGGACTTGTTGCTGAGACCGTCAACAGCGGCCCCGAAGGCCCCAGCGGGAAGGAGCCCCGTGGTAACAATCTTGCGACATCGTTGACCCGCGGTCGCAGTTAGCTTACGCAGGCGCTGCCCTCTGACCGTCGCAGTTCTGAGCCTGACCTTGCGCTTAGCAGCAGCGCCATTGCACCCGAAAGACTTACCCGCCGTAAAATCGCAACCTAGGTTGGTGGCGACCGCTTGGAGCTTGCCCCCAGAGGCCCCAAGGGCTGAAGTGAGGAGCCTGGCTAACGATACCGACGACGCAACGACAGCTCCTTTGTGAACCGCAATCCTGGCTTCTAAGTCAACCTCGATGAGTCGGGCAAGCTCCTTGGCGGCACTGACGACACGCTTGAGCACCCTGACCGTGGTGCCGTGACAGGTGATGGTCAAGTCATCCAAATAGAAATCGAAATAGACGGCCGAGTGCAGCGACGAAATTCGCAGGAAGGCATCAAAACAATAAATCCTGACATAAAGGATGCAGAAAGAACAGCCCGCCACTATGCCGTTGGCGGCCGCAATAGGCTTAGCCACACAGCGCTTCCACGCTATGTGCCTCCAAGAGCCGTACCCTGCGAGATGATATGCTAGCAGAGTCTCAGGAAAACCTAAAGCAAGCGCTCGGGCCCGCAATTTGCTTCGCTTGAAGCGCTCGAAGAAAGCCTCCATATCCCAGAGAACACCAGCGGAGGCCCCACCGCCCGAGACGGCCCCTTCAGCTCTGAGACCCTGCCGCCATACCACGTCGACTGGTGATCTGCCTGCGCCGCAGGCAAACCAAGAGTGATCGTGCTTAGCTATCCAGTCCTGGGCGAAATGAAGGCGCAGCTTGCCTGTGATTCTGTACATCATGGGAAAGATGCCGATGGGCCTGTAGCCGCCTGTGACTTTGCGGAGGAGCGCCACGAGGACCCACTGGAGCTGCCCAGGAAGCTCCCCCAGAACCTCGGAGATGTAGATGAGTTTGGCGAAGGCCTCTAGGGCCTCGTCCGATAACATACTGAGGTGCCTCATGTGGAACCCGTCGAGAGAGACGGCGGAGGACCTGGGGTAACTCTTGGAGAGGTCCCTGAGAGCTTCCACTGAGGGGATCCCGATGGGCTTGTGGAGGTCGTTGTCCCTGTGGAGGGGCTCGGCCGAGGGCTCCCAGAATTTCCCGAACTTGGCCTTGTAGGTGTCCAGGGTGCTCTGAATAGAGGCTGTGAGCTTACCCTCAATGACCACCGTGTCGGGCTCCCATTTGGTGCGCTCCTTAATGAACTTGCGCGCGGCCTTGGCCCCCTTGTCGAGGGCCTTGTCAACCCATTCCTTCCAGGAGCTAGCGTTGGCTGACCGCACATCTGAAATGACCTTCTTTGCGCATGCGTCCGCTCTGGCCTTGAATGAGAGCAGCTGCGCGACTGAGGCAGCTACCTTGCTGCAACAAAAAGCTTCTGCCTCGAAGTCAGCGTGCAAGGGCGTGATATACTGCTGAATATCTCTCAGGAGCACGCGCGTGCACTCGTTCTGCATCACGTGCTGCGGCCTGGCGCGCATAACTCGGGAAATAAGCTCGAAAACTGCTGGCCTAGATTCTCTGCCTATCATCTTCCCAGCATACCTATCCTCCTCCTCCTCCAAATAGCAGGCGAGGCGGTGCATGCGTGCGGCAATCCAGCTCGGCGCCGTAGGGAGGAGGCCGTACTGCTTGTGAGCTCTATCATTCTTGGATATGGCTCTGAGTATTGGCTGGGGGGCTCTCGCTCTCAAGCCAGTAGACTTGCGCTCTCGAATCCTTGTGGCAGTCCGCTGCGCGAGCTCGAGCTCGGCGGCGTTGGCCCAGCGCGCGTAGGCCGAGGCGAAGTTAAGACGCAACACAACCTTGTGACGGTTACCTAAAGCGGAGATAAGCCTACTCATATGATCTAGAACTTTATCCCAAGAGACGGTGCTATGATGCACGATATCCTCACCCTCCTCATCCTTGTCGAATGAGGAGGGGAGGGGGGGTATGGTTGGGAATTGAAGGACCTTGACCTCTCCAAAATCTGGTGGCAGATCCAGCACAACGGGGAAGTGCGGCCTAGCATCCCAGTCGAAATCGACGTCAATGTCACGCACAGCGTTGGCAAGCTGCTGCTCGACAATGAACATGTCTATAACAGAACTGCTGGCCGTGCAGGTGCCCATCGAGCACACCGGCGCGAAGAGCTGACCCTTGATATAATTGCAGAACTCCGAATGCTCAAGCTGGTCCTGAGTGACATTGAAGTCTCCTGCTATGATGTACTGCAGCCCTGAAACCTTAACCAGGTCGGCTACGGCCTCGAGGATGGCGAGATTGCCAGGGGAGAGGCCCTGACTCACGTGCCCATACAGGGAAAGACAGAGGATGCCCGAGGTCTGGGGGAACTCCACAACGACTCCCATGACGCGGTGTGGCACCAAAATACCTCCAGGGGGCCCAACGGGTTCCTCGAGAGTGTAGCACCCAAGATCTTCGGCCACGAAGATGGCGACCCCAGCTGACGAGCCAACATCCCCTAAACCGTTCGTTGAGGGGGCAAAAGCGGCAGTGGCAACCGACGGGGCCCAAAAACTCTTCCAGCCGTGCCTGGAGGCCCAGTCTGAGGCCTCGGCAATGCTTAAATCTGAAACAAGGTGCACCTCCTGAGCAAACAAAACTTTGGTGGGTCCCCACGCAAGCTCAAGGAGGCGCTTCTTAATGGAGCCCCAAGAGGACCCATTGAAGGTCTCAAAACGGGTGCATTGAGGAGATGAGGAAAGAGGAGAGGAAGAGCTGGCCTTCCCAGCATTGGCACAAGCTGGTGAGGCCGTTGTCTCAACTGGCTGGCAGTCACGACTCTCCGTCGAAGCTGTCGTCGCTGTCGGCGCGCGGCCGTTACCCGTACGGGCGGTGGCCACGACGGCTGCCAGTCCCCTTGCTCGATGGTGCGCCCAGCTGCCGCGCAGCCGCGGCCTGCTGGTCCTGGTGCGAAGCTCTGGCCTTCTGGATGGCTTCGAGCTCCTTCTTCGGGACGTGCTTGGCGAGGGACTCCATCTCAGCTTTGAAGAACTCGGAATCGAAAATCGGCGTGTCCGTAGTCGATGGCGCTGGCGAGGGCGGCGGTGCCGCCTTCTCAGGCAATGCCCCCACCATGCTGGCCATGTCATTGATGAATTGGAGGATGTCTGCATTGTCTGCGAACTTCGTCTTGGCCTCCTCGATCTTGGCCTTGGACGTCTTGGTGAACTCCGCGAGCGATCCAGGACCCTCGTCTGGTGCCGTGTCGGCCCAGACCGACTTGGCGTCCTGCTCCTCGCGCTGCTGGTCGTCCTGGGCCTGCTCGAGGCGTTTCTTCTGCTCGTCCATGGACTGGATGGTGGCGTCGAGCTGCTGCTGCAGCTCCTGCTTGGTCTTCTCCAGCTCTGAGATCTGGTTCTTGATCTTCTCGACCTTCTCGGCAGCTCGCTGCACACGTGTGTGGCAGCGCGCCATGCGCTGCGCGGGCGGCAGGCTGGCTGCCTGCGCCGCGCGCGCATCCACCAGATCAGCTCTGGCCTGCTGCAGCTTGGCGGCCACGTCGGGCACGACGCTGGCGTCCAGCTGCTGGTAGGTGCTGACGAGAAGCTCGAGTTGCTCGATCTTCTTGTCCCTGTCGTTGGTGTCGGACACCTCGGACGCGGGCGCCGCCGTGTCCTTGCCCTTGCCCGTGCCACGCGAGCCTTTCCCGCGGCCAGGCGCTGCGCCTGCGGCAGGGCCGCCTGCTGCTGGCGGCTGGGGTGCGACGGCGGCCGCTGCCAGGGCGGAGACGCGCTTGGCGATGGCGTTGAGCTGCTGCTTGGAGAGCCCAGCGGCGCCGCCTGCGCCGCCCGCGCCCATGCCGCCGCCTGCGTTCTTGCCACCGCCCTTGCGGCGACGGGCTCCACGCTGCGGCTGATCACCCTTGATGTAGTAAAGCCCGCAAATGTGACACCACAGCTTGCCGCTAGCCAAAGGTGTCCAAGAGCGCGGGCCACACTTCTCACACTGAACCCATGCAGCTGGCCCTGCGGCCTTCGCCATTGCGGAGGACGGGCCGTGCTGGCCAACTGCTTTTGAGCGAGAATGATGGGTACGAGAAGGCACCGTCTGGTGCTCGAACAAACGAAGCTCACAGGCTGACCCCAGTGACGCGGGCTGGGCCAGTCCTGGAGCGTGCGTTGGCCCTGCGCCACCTCGAGAGATGGCAACTTGAGCCAAAATGGCTACGGACTGTCAGCGGGGGTGGCGCCCCCCCGACGCTTGTTAAGAAACTGTGAGTAAGTATTGAGGGTAAGAGAGCAAGAGAGAAAGGGACAGGGATAATGAGAGGGAGAGAGGTAGTGTGCAATAAACTGAGTCAAGAAAGAGAGAAAGAGAGGAAATAAGGAATGATCAGCACAGATATGTTCATGTGTATAGATATGAAGAAATAGAGAGATGGTAACGAGAGACAGAGAGAGATGTAGACGACCAACCATGCATAAACCATACGCACATACACACATAGATCTACCTATAGCACGCTGGGTTGCAAAATAATAGATCGACTGAGGGAGAATATCAGCAAACACAAACGACGCAATGATAGAACAGACAGGAGGTGCGAACAAGCATTTGCGCAATCACACTTTTGCATAGCTCCCCGGCCCGGGTGCGATTCGGCGACCCGTCAGTGATTACCGTCTGTGGGCTCGTCCTGGAGAGATGCCTTGACTGATCTTACTGCGTTGCAGTGGGCCTGGTTGGACGAGCCGCCCGATGTTCGGACGCAGTTTTCACCACCAGGCGGCTCAAGCATGCCGCCGTACTGGCCTGATGATCTGGCTGGGCTTTTGATAGCAATGTTGGGTCTTGGGTCGCAGTCTGCTCCCTGTTTCCACCCCGCTTCGGTGTGTCGCTGCAAACGTCCCCACCTTCGGCCCGCAGGCCTCGTGGCAAGCCAAATCTCAGAGAAAGTCGGGCTTGTTCATGTCTGGTCGTATGAAGCACCAGGGGGTCATGTCTCTTCGACAAAAGCTGCGTTTGCGTGGCACCGTCGAGACTCGATTCCCCACACCTGCACGTCCAAAATCAGTTCGCACCACGGGAGTCATGCGCAGCGCACGCCAGCTGGGAAATGCGATGGCTTTCTGTGGGTCTATACGGCCACTCCTGTCCTATCTGGAGGTTCGCTGTCTGCCTAACACTGTCGAGATTTACATGCCGTACCTCGGCCTCTGGTGGTCGCTCTTGCTGCCAAGAAGTTTCGCCTAGACGTGGTCGCGGGGCGCGCGCCGCACAGCAGGGCCACTCCAGGTACCGTTCAGGCTTGGTGGGATCACAGCCATGACGTGGCTCAACGCGTGCGTACCCGTAGAGCCGCGCTGGATAGTCCTCTGGATGCCACTGCTCGTTAGGGGTCCACACGATCTCGGCACGCTGGTCCTGCGGCTACGGTCCCTGATAATCTCCCAACACAGTGCTTTCGCCAGTGTCCTCGGCGGCTTGACCACTTGGCGCCGTCCAGCTTCTTGGACTCTGGGCAACTATCTGCTAGTACCTTGTGTCCTCCCGGGCGGGCGCCTGGATAGTCTTGGGTATCGTCTGGATTATGCTGTTTGTTCTTTCGGTGCTTGTCAGAAAGCAGCGTGCGTGCCTGCAGTACAGAACAAGCTTAAGCATTGTGGTCTGCTATGACCCGGACAAGTTCAACGGTCCTGAGTCTGGGAGATGTTCGTGCAGGCCCTCAGGCAGGGCCCCTAGGTCGACTTCATTGTCCCGACCTACGAACACTAGTCGGCCTTGACTACCACCCTAAGGTCTTCCCTGGAATAAGCTTTCCCTGTCAGGTCTACGGAGAGAGGTCGTACGCCTAGGCAGTCTTGGGCATCTACTGCGCATCTGGCAGCAATGGACAAACTCAATATACATCCCAGGCGATTTCGCAGTCCCTTGGTACTTGTGAAGCCCATCCCCTCCTGCCTCTCCCCCCACTCCGCCCGCCCCTCTCCCCCATGACCGATGCCCAGCGGCTTCGGATCGACGAGAACCGCGCCGAGGCCCGGAGGCGCCGCGCGGCCCGCCGCGCCGCTGCAGCGGCGACCCGCGCCGCCCCCGTCGACCTCTCAGGCGTTTTCGAGCGCCCTCCGCTGAGGGCAGCGAGCGCAGGCTCCTTCTCAGACACGGTGCAGGGGGCCTGCAGCACGCATTCTCCTTTCTCAGGAGCTTCATGCTCAGAGCTGTCAGCGAGGACGGCGAACTTGCCATTCCCATCTCTCTCTCTCTCTCTCTCTCTCTCTCTCTACGACGACGACGACGACGACGACGACGACGACGACGACGACGACGACGACGACGACGACGACGACGACGACACACCCTCCACCCTCCTCGCCCCGACGACGTCCTGCGTTCTGCCAGCAGGTAGGCTTCTCGCACATCATCAGCTCGTCGGGGCAGTTGTCGCACCTCGACGGCCGGAGCGCGCGCACCGCCGCGGCGGCCCCGCCTGCCGAGGCCCCATCTGTTCATCCTCCTCCTCCTCCTCCTCCTCCTCCTCCTCCTCCTCCTGCTCCTCCTCCCTCCTCCTCCTCCTCCTCCTCCTCCTCCTCCTCCTCCTCCTCCTCCTCCCTCCTCCTCCTCCTCCTCCTCCTCCTCCTCCTCCTCCTCCTCCTCCTCCCTGCTCATCGTCCTCCTCCTGCTCCTCCTCCTCCTCCCGACCTCCCTCCGTTCCTCCCTCCCTGCCTGCCTCCCTCCCTCCCTCCCGCCCTCCTCCCTCCCCCCTTTTCCTCCTCTTCCTATTCCCTCCTCCTCCTCCTCCTCCTCCTCTCCTCCTCCTCTTCCTCCTCCTCCTCCTCCTCCTCCTCCTCCTCATCCTTCTCCTCCTCCCCCTCGATGCCTGGTGTTGCGGACCCGCTCGTTCGCCCCATGCGGCTGCGGCCCTCGCCTGCTACTCCTCGTCATCCTCGCGAGGAGGGCAGAAACCACTCGGAGTGGGGCGCGGCCGCAGGCCATATCCCTGAGCACGCGGGCTGGAAGGCACACCAGGGGGGGGGCATGACCCCTGGGACCCCGAGGGGGCCCACAGAGGCATACTAATACTGTATGCCCTCCTTGGAGGCGCGCGTCCGACCCAGACATATAGCATACCCATCTTGTAGTATACACTTTCCCGCGCGGTGTGGCCAGAAAGCGCCCGCCACGACGCACATACTACATGACTTCTCGGTGCGCGCGTCGCTCCTAGGGGGGGCGACGCACATGTAGCATAAGTATGTTGGGGTGACGGCGACCCAAGGGCAACACGCAAGCAGTGCAGACATTTAGAGACTAGAACCTCTCGGGGTAGCCGAGCGTCGCCGCTGGTCTCTGGGCACGGCTCATCCGTCAAATTCCAGCCCATGCCTTCCAGGATGCGCGGGCCCCCCGCAGCGGCGCCACCACCTCGCGCCCTATGTCCCCAGTGCACGGCGTGCCTTGTGCGTTGATGGCGACCCGCGGTTGCACTCACTGTGGGCGGCTAGCGGCACGCTGCCGCGTGCTCGCAGGAAAGAATGGGAAGGGGGGTGCGCTACGGGGGACTGCGGTGAGGCGACGGTGGAAGCGCCAACGACCCCGACGGCGGGGAGGTATGCCAGGAGGAAGTGGGGAACATGTGGGTAGCAAGAAGCATGGCGCCTCGGGTCGGCGCAATTGCAGGGGGGGTCCCCGCTGCACGACGAAGCAGGAAGCGGTTATCCCTACACGTTGGTGAGATAGGCACACCTGATAGGACGCAATCGGCAGGGGCGGGTGGGTTTGGGGCCGACTGTGAAAAAATGCAGTGGGCTGCAAGCGGAAGCCCATCCCCCACGCCCTGGTATAAAATTGCCCAGCGCGGCAAGGCGGGCGCGAAGGCGATGTCGCTCAAGTTGCCGAGCCTGCGCCGTGCAAAAATGATTCGGGGCCTGCCCTTGGCCAGGGAAGCCACGCCCCGCGGCTGGAGGCGCGTCGGCATCGGGCCATCGCGGGCGACCATCTGGGGAGCACGGAGGGGGCAACACGGCCCTGGGGCGAGAAGCCAGGTCCCCTTCGCGCCTGGAATGACTCTGGCAGAGAGGGGGGAGGTGTGCAGGTGGCGGCTGGTGGACTGCTGGCAAGGCGCCCACCCAGCAGTCCCAAACATCAAGCCGGTGCTCAAAGTGCGTAGGGCAAGTGGCGGTTCGCCTCGCCACAGTGGGAAAGACTCGGTGGGGTCCTGGTCATGCGCATGGCGGGCCTCAGCGCGCGGGTGGACCAATCGGCGGTCCATCGCCATGCACGAGGCGGTAGGCCGCCATTGTGATCTCGAAGCTGTTGCGGTTGGTGGCGCCAACTTGGGGTAGCAGCATCCTCTCCCACTCCTCAGCTTGTTCAACAGCGGTCCGATTCCGAGCCCTTCTGGCGGCGTGCTGCGCGGCCTTCGGGGACTTCTCGGCAGGCGCCCCTTGCGTCGAGGGCGATGTAACTGCGGTAGAAGTGGACGGAAGTGTCGAGGGCACGGCTTCGCGATCACCTTCGCTATTGTCTGGGGGGTGGCGGTAAAAGTCAACCTCGATAACGATGATCTGCTCATCTGCAACACGGCCTTCTGGGCCGCAACACTGGTCGCGTAAGTGGCAAGCATGTGCTCCCTAGTGACAGGTGTGCTGCCAACCTGGCCGAAGGCGGGGGAAATAGCCTTGATCGCGGCCGCGTCGGCGCGGACTCTGAGGACACAGTCGGTTGAGATGGCCCAGCCAGCCGCAAACTGGCTGTGCGCGGTCGCCGTCGCGCTGCGGCGCCGCCGAGGCCAGGGAGGGTGGAGAGGCGCGTGGACCCAGTCCCCTTCCCCCTCCCCCCTTTAGGTCAGGCAGGAGACGAAACGGCCTCTGGGATAGGTACGGTTGCTCGCGCGCCACTCTCTCGCTCCTCCTGGTCCTGCCTGTCGGCGCCAGCGCAGGCAGGCGCACTCGGCGCTGTGGCCGCCGTCGTCGCCGGAGGTGCCGAAGGCGTGGCCGTCGAGGGTGTCCCCGCGAAGGGTGGCAGCGCCGACAGCGCCGCCGCCGCCGCCGCGGGCGTTGCTGTCGAGGGTGTCGCCGACGAGAGCGCGCAGCCGAGGGTGTCGCCGCCGCGTGTGGCGCAGGTGGCGCCGTCGCCGTTGAGAGCGCCCCTGGGGGGGCGGTGAGGCGGTCGGCGCGCGCGTCCACCTCCCGGGCCCTCGGCCACTCCGGAGGGACGAGGCCGTCGCGGGGCAGGGCGGCGCGGCGCTGGGCGCCCACCTTCGGCTCAAGCTCGGCGGCATCTGGGCCCCATGTCCTTCCCGTGCAGCACCGCGGGGGAGGCGCGCGGGGGCCTCCGCCCTGGACGTCGAAAGGCCACCAACCCCTCCGAGGCCCCGCCCGGGGACCTGCTCGGAAGCGCGGGCGGTGCGGAAGTCGTCTTTCCCCCCGTTGCGGCGATGATGTCCGTGAGGTCGGCGGCGGCGGGCTGCTGAAGGTCTGCTCTCCGTCCGCTGTGACCCTGGCCCCAACAGGAGTTACGACTGCGCTTCCACCGGCTGGTGTGGTACTGGCCTTCTCCTCGTACGTCCAGTCAACAGCTGTGCCTCCCCTTATTCCTCCGGAAGTTGCTGTAGTACTCGTTATTCCCTTCGCCCCCCCTATTCCAATACTCGGTGTGGTGTTGGACGTCCCCCTCGTGGCGCGCATTGCCGATGGGAGTCTTGGAGAGCAGGATCGCGGCGACGTCCTTGGCCGAAGGGGTGTTGGCCGTACGCATGCGCCGCGCAGGCCAACTGGCGACTCACGCACTGGTATCCATCCGGATGTGATTGTCTCGCGCCTGAGCGCGGTGAGGTCTCGTAGCCGCGGGAGTCCATATCGTAGGAGCTCGCCATACCATATTCGCGTCGACGCAGGCGGCAATGGCGTGGCAACAAGCATGAGCGCGGCCCGCTCGGGCCGATCCGCCCCTGTGTCGACGGCTGGGCGGGGCAGGTGCGCGCTCGGGCCCGCACTTGAGCCAAAATGGCTACGAACCCTCCTCCTGCTCCTCCTCCTCCTCCTCCTCCTCCTCCTCCTCCTCCTCCTCCTCCTCCTCCTCCCCCTCCAACTTCTCCTCATCATCCTCCTCCCCCTCCTCATCCTCATCCTCCTCCTCTCCTCCTCCTCCTCCTCCTCCTCCTCCTCCTCCTCCTCCTGCTCGACATCATCAGTATGAGATTATTCCTCCTCCTCTAACCTCTCCTTCTCCTCCTCATCCTCATCCTCCTCCTCCTACTCGTCATACTCATTACGAGTCTCTTCTTCCTCCTCCTCTTCCTCGTCATCCTCCGTGTCACCTTGCGTGTTGGGGGAAACATGACGGAAAGCGTTTGGCCGTGGTCGGACTCATGCGCGCCATTACAGGGCCTCAGGCCTGTCAAAGAACCTCGGGATGGAAAGCCAGTCCAGGCCTAGGAGATGGTTCGAGACTTCCAGGGCTCCTCCGCCTTCTCCTCCGCCTCCTCCTTCTGGCCCCCTTCCTCCTCCTACATGTCTTCTCGTTTCTTTCTCATCCTCTTCATATTACCTTTCTTCTGGTCGTCATCACGGATCGCTACTATCACTGGTGTTTCTCCTCCTCCTCATCATCCTTATCCTTCTCCTTCTCCTCCTCCTCCTCCTCCTCCTCCTCCTCCTCCTCCTCCTCCCCCTCTGCCAAGGGGGGGCAACAGCATACGGAAGGGTGTGCCCAGGCAGGCCCCCTTTGCTCCTGCTCCTCCTCCTCCTCCGCTGCCTCTGCCTCCTGCCAGAAGGGTGGGACCTCCAAACCCTCGTCGGCGCCGACCTCCGATGACGGGAGAGCGCGTGCGCCCCGCCTGGCATCCAGACAGGGCCACGCCGAACCTTGAAGGCACTGGAGCGCTGCGCCAGTCCTTGATCTGCATCCGCCTCCGTTTCCTTCTCCTCCACCTCCTGCTGCTGCTGTTGCTGCTGCTGCACCCAGGCCTCAAGACATGAAGCCATGGTGCCCACTCACGCAGGCGAAGAAACGTGAAAGATGGGGAGGAGGAGGAGGAGGAGGAGGAGGAGGAGGAGGAGGAGGAGCAGGAGCAGGAGGCGGAGGCGGAGGAGGAGGAGGATGAGGAGGGAAACTACCAACCTGAATGGACTAGCTAGAGGCTTCCTCCGCCTCCTCCTCTCCATCTACCGAGGCGTGGGGGGGGGAAGGCGGGCAGCACCACTGGAGGAACATGCCCGGAGGCAGGCCCCAAGGTCAGCTCCTCAGCCCCGATCTGCTGCTCGTCCGCGTCCCTACTCATCCCTCCTCCGCCCTCCCCCGCCCGCTTGCTGTTGCTGCTACTGCTCCTCCTCATTATCCTCTGTACTCCTCCTCAGCCTTCCTCTCATCATCCTCTTCATTCACATCACCATCACCTAAGGTCTGCCCCCTCTGCATCATCGACGCCATCCCACTACCGATCCTCAACAATACCTTGTCCTACCCTCACGTCGGCACCCTTTCTCCTGCGCCGCGATGTTGCAGAAGAAGGCCTCCACGCCAGGGACGAGAACGGTGATCGTCGTCCCGCACGCCAGGTAGAGGAAGCAGGACCTCCGGGGCGAGCGCCGCCCAAGGAGGGGAAGGGCAGGCAGGTGCCTTGCAGCTGGGGGCAGGGAGAACGCACGAACGCAATTCCGAACCTCACGAACGGCATGTCTTGGCGGGGCCGACCAGTGGGTGGGGGGGAGGGGAAGGCTTCTGGAAGGGAGGCTGCTGCTTAAACGGCGCGGGCCTGACATCTACAGAGAAGGCCCGCGCCTTCCGAGAAGCAGGGTGCTTCTGAGGCACCTCCCCCCACCTCCTAACCCCCCTCTCCGCGTTGCTGCATGTCCATGTTTCGGCGGTGGACAAACCTCCCTTTAGTAGACCTCCCCTTAGTGAAAACGGCCTGGGACCGAAACCGACGGACCTGGACCCGCAAAAATGACGGCCGCGACGCCCTCTCGCGAACCGAAAACGGCCAATTCCTTAATCGACGTGCCAGGGTGGGAGGTCTGTCCACCCCCGAATGTCCATGGCCTCGCGGGCCGGGCACCGAGGCGCGATCACACGATATGCGCACCGACCCGGTCTCGCTCCGCGCGGGGCCTCTCTGCGCAGAGCCGTCCTGCGTCCGTGCGGCCGCGGCCGCGGACAAGAAGGGCAAGCTTGCCCCGGAGTCGTCCTCAGACGGTGTCCCGGAGGGCGTCTCCAGGCATTCGGTGCCCACGAAGGCCCGAAAGCGGCCGAGGACAAAAGGGCAAGTTTGCCCGGAGCCGTCTTCAGACGGTCCCAGAGCGCGTCTCCGGGCGCTCGGTGCCCACGGAGGCCCGAGAGAGTGGCGAACACCCGGAGGGCCCGTTGCCCTCGGGACCCGTCCGCGTCGTGGCGAGAGGTGGCCCCGCGCTGCTCTCTACCTCCCCTTGCCAGGCTGCCCCCCACCCTGCCTGCCCGCCTCGCCGGGCCCACTGCGAGGGAGGGACATCGGCCCGCGCCCCCCTTCGGCGGCGAGCGGAGGCGGGGGGGGTAATCGAGGATGGGCAGACCTGCCTTTCGCGAAACGTGGTTTCGTGAGGACGACCTCGGGCCCAAACCTGGCGGGCGCAAGCCTGGAAAATAACGGCCGCGGCGCCCTCTCGAGAACCGAAAACGGACCTAATCACCAATCGACGTGTCACTGTCAGGAGGTCTGTCCACCCCTGAGGTAAGGCGAAATTAAGACAGGGGCCAGATCAAACAGGGACAGGTCGGGGATCTCGGAGGTCTGGCAGTTTCTGAGGATGCATCGGGAGCCGCGGCCGTTCCAGAGCGCTCCGGAACGCTCTGCGAGCGTCCCGATGCTCTCTGGAGCGATGCGTCCCAACCCTCTAACCTCGCCCGAGAAAGGGAGATCGCCGCGTCTGGGCGGCCGGCAGCGCAAAGTACGCGAAGAGGTCAATCGAGAGGATGCACTTCAGAAAAGCCGAGCACGCCTCGCCGCGCGGCGCGCGGCTTGCCACACCGGCGCGATGCGCGAAGAGAGAACGAGAAATGGCCCGTTACGCGAGGCGTGTGGCGGCGAGATCTGTATACCCACGGTGAACAATAAGAGCACCACGGGGTACAAAATGTTACAGCTGATCTGATCACCCCAAAAAATGCAACATCTTTCTTTCTAACATGTACGACCACCATTCGAATGATCAAGAGGCTGTGGGGGGGAGGGGCCAACTGGTGGCAACTGCGACGATTGTGATAGTGACGTCGCGGGCGATGCGCCCACGAGTCGGCGACGATGCGTGATGACGACGCTGGCACAATCGAAACACCATCGGACGGAGCACCTGAGGACACTGCCAAGGCACATAAATGACACCATCGCATCCCGCTGTCTACCTAAGTTACCAGTATCACGACCCATGGGTCTCTCCATCCACCGCGCAATCGACCTGTCTAACGACTTATCCGTCTAACATACAAGGCCACAGGGTACCATGAGACACCACGGGACACCACTAACAAACAGTCCCATCGATTCCACGATGGATATCCCTCCATCTCTCGATATCACTGTCTGTCGACCCCACCGTCGATTTCAATTTCGATCCCGCTATCGATCTTCATATCGATTCCACCACATCACTTTCGATCCCATTCAATCGATCTTGCAATCGATCTAACTATCAACGTCCAGGAGCCACCATGGGACACCGCAGGACACGGCAAAACGGGACACCGCGGGACACCACGGGACACGGGCGGGACACCCCTAAGCCACCGCCGGCTAAACGGGGGGAGTAAAGACATTGTCACTTCGCTCTTGGCCTCCCAACCGACGTTCCCCATCAAAGAGGTATCAGGGGTAGCGCCGCGTCGGCGACGCACCTAGCACGGGGGCGCGCATGTAATCAAGACCGGCCTTGGTTGAGGCAAGCGGCCACCTGTGGCGCCACTTTGACAAATCATTCTGGTATCCTCTAAGAGGCCTCTTGGAAGCCTTTTGGGCCCTATGAGGTCCCTGAATAATCCACCAAAGAAGCGGTGGCAAATTCACCCGATCGGGTGAATTAGTGATCGATATTTCACCCGGAACCTTAACTCATCCAAACCTTAACTCACCCGCGCCGTACTCACCCAGTCACAAAACTCACCTGGTGTAGCTCACTCTATCTTAACGTCAACCATTCTAATTCACCCGGCTTTGCGCCACCCCGTGCTTTCAACTCACATAGCGCCTAACCCACCTGGGGCTGCATTCACCCGGCTTTCAATCACCCGGTGCTCAACCCACCCGGCGATTAACTCACCCGGTTGCTAACTCACCCGCTGCCCAACTCGGCCGGCGCTAAATCACCCAGTATCTAATCCCAGAAGCCCTTTGGGCGACAGGTGGTTTAACGATGTTTTTTCTCTTCCACAACCCTTGCTTCCACGTCGGGGAAAGGTCCATCGTGTTCCTTACTAATATATACCCCCTCCCCAAGGCGACTGGCGTTCAACCAGGAACCATGAAGACACCACGATGACCCCCCCAACCCTTCGTGTCGAAAAACAAAACAAGCCGCACTCTGCCTCCATATTTGGAGCATGCGCGGCCAACCCGATGCCCCCCAAACCATCCCTGTCAAAAAAAGCGCAATACACTTCGGGGCAAAGTCTTGGGTCATGTTCGCGAGGCCCACGAACACTTGACAGGGACGGCGGGGTGGCCAGCGTATTCCCAGCCGTGCGCAAGACTACCATCCCTGACACCATACCCGGGAACGTACCCAACCCTTTGTATACGTGAGGCGACTATACACCGGACCGCGCAATACAAAAGCAAACGCTGAAAGATCCGCCGCGCGTTTAAACGCTTCGCCAAAAAACGTCGGGCCGGGGCCAAATGTTTCACATTCGCGGCATCGCTCTAGGAGTCAGATTGTCGGTCGGAAGGCGACCACGAGGGGGCGTGGAAACCTGCGGATGAATGGGGGAACTGGAGACATGCTTCGAGGGGGTAACAGCGCCGCACGCTAATCAGGTTCCCATTGCAGAATAGCGCCGCGCGCGCTATGACAGAACAGCGCCCTGCGCTAATCGCTGCTGGAGAGTCGATGCGGCACGGGCGCACGACATCACCACGCGCTCCGCGGCGCCCAATCCCGATGCGATCTGCAATCAAACAGCGCAGCGCGCTATGTGGCGGGACAGCGCCGCGCGCACCATGGGAGCTCCCGCTTTATATACGCGCCTGGTCGCCGCCCGTCGAGGGCGCGGGCGCTCGCGCCACGGGAGCGCCAGCGGCAATCGACAGCAGCGCTGCTGCAGATGCTGGCGGGCGCCGCGCCCAGTCGCGCAGGAACTTGGCCAGGCCGAGCTCGCGCGCCAGCTTTGCGGCCTCTTTCCGGCAGCGCTACGCGCGGGCGCCGAATGCCCGAAGGCGGGCCGCCGGTCCGCCGGCGGCCCCCCAGGGCAGAAAGTCGAGGCCTGGATCGTGGATCATCAAGAGGTTGTGCGACGTCGTCGCCCAATCCCAGATCGCCAGCGCCTCCGGCGCCCTGCGGCGCACGGCCTGGCCCCGGCGCGCCGTCGACGCGAGCACCTGGGCGCGCGAGATCTGCAGGCCTGCGCGCGTCACTTTGCGCTTGCGGAACTCGAAGGGGCCAGGTGTCTGCGGCTCGACGAACTCCGACCGCTCCGCGCCCGAGACGTCGACCCCCTCCGCGCGCTCGGCCAGCTGGTCCGGCAAGGAGCTGCGCGCGGGCCCGGACGCGCGGGCCCGGACGCCGAGGGGCAAGGGGTGGAAGTGCGCGGGGCGATTCTCGGCCCTCGCGCGTTCCACCTCGCCCTCGCCTCGAGCGCCGATGGCCATGCGCACGACCTCGCCCTCGGCATCCTCGACCAGCTTCCGCTCGAAATCGAGATGCTCCAGCAGGCGAATTCGCATGCCCAAGCGCAACGCAGCGCCCACCGCATGCCGCCCGCAGTGCCTGGGGCCACCTGATTCAGCAGCTTCGCGGCCAGGCCCCTCGGCAGCCGGGGCGGCGAGGGCGCGTCGGCGGCCTGCGCGAGGCAGAGGACCTGCCCCAGTGTCTGGGCGTCTGTCTTTGCGCGCATTGCGATCCAGCGAGCCACCGCGTCCCAGCGCCACGCGAGCATGTGCCCCGCCTGGAACCGCTCCTCGGCCAGCTTCGGGTCGTCGGTCCTCAGCTGGGTGCGTCTCCGCGCATCGGCGACGCCGGCGGGGGCCCCACCCTTCCTCGGCTTGCGCGCGAGGTTCATCAGCTCCTCGAGGCGCGGGCCCTTGACGCGACCGGCGGCCTGGAGCTCGAAGCAACGGGGCGCGTCGCACAAGGGCTCCATGACCTGCTGGTGCCTTGCGGGCGGCCCCTCTCTCCTGCTGTCGGCGGCCGCCATCTGCCGCGGGCCAGACAGGAGACCCCCCAGGACCTGCGGGCTTCAGCCGCAGGAAGCCCCCAAGGTAAATCACGACGGGGGCGCAGCCGAAAGCGCGGGAGGGCCCCTGGCAGTTCACCTCTTGCAGACCGCACCCGGCGCGCCTGGCCTGGGAGGCGCGACGCAGGGGCATGGCGCATTGTAAAGGTCCGGTGGCACCACGCTCACCTCCTCGATCGCGAACAATCCCAGGCCCCCCCCCCGATGTTCCCGAGGCGCGCGCGCGCGCCGGAGTCGGGCATCATCTCGCGGCGTCGGTGACCAGGGGGCGGGCGACCCGCAGCCGCGCGCAGAGTTCCTAGACGGGCCTACGGAACGCGGGCTTTGCGCGCGGGCGCCGCGCCCCCGAAGAGCCGGGCAAGCTGGGGCGGCGAGCTCCGATTTCCCCGGCGACGCGGCGGCGCCGCCGGCCACGGCGGAGCAAAGCCTCGGCGCCGAGACCGGTGCTGGAGCGCTCGGGCCCGCGCGAGCAGAGGCGCGAAAAGAGCGACAGTTTCGCAGATCGCAGCCCCCCAGGGGGCGACGAAGTCTCGCGGCGATCCGCGCGTGACGCACCTCCGCCGGACCTTCCAGGAGCCCGCGAAAGAAGCGACGGTCTCGCGGATCGCAGCACTCCAAATGGGCGGCGAGGTCTCGTGGTGATCTGCGCATGACGCGCCTCCGCTGGCCCTCCCAGAAGCCCGCGAAAGTGGCAGCGGTTTCGCGGATCGCAGCACCCCAAGTGGGCGGCGAGGTCTCGCGGTGATCTGTGCATGACGTACCTCCGCTGGCCCACCCAGAAAACCACCGAAAGTGGCGACAGTTTCTCAGATCGCAGCCCCCCAGGAGACGGCGAGGACCCGCGGTGATCTGCGCGTAACGCACCTCCGCTGGCCCTCCCAAAAGCCAACGAAAGTGGCGACGGTTTCGCAGATCGCAGCACCCGAGGGGTCGGCGAGGTCTCGCCGTGATCTGCGTGCGACGCACCCCTGCTGGTCCTCCTAAAAAACAACGGAAGTGGCGACAGCTTCGCAGATCGCAGCACCCCAAGTGGGCGGCGAGGTCTCGCGGTGATCTGCGCGCGACGCACCTCCGCTGGCCCCTCCAGAAACCAGGAAGTGGCGACAGTTTCGCAGATCGCAGCCCCCAAGGGGGCGGCGAGGTCTCGTTGGTGATCTGCGTGCGACGCACCTCCGCTGGCCCTCCCAGAGGCCCGCGAAAGTGGCGACGGTTCTTGAGATCGCAGCCCCCCAGGGGACGGCGAGGTCTCGTAGTGATCCGCGCGCGACGCACCTCCGCTGGCCCTCCCAGGAGCCAACGAAAGTGGTGACATACTGAGATCGCAGCACCCCAGGGGACGGCGAGGTCCCGTGGCAATCTGCGTTGGGCGCACCTCCGCTGGCCCTCCCAGAAGCCCGCGAAAGCGGCGACAGTTCCGCAGATCGCAGCCCCCCAGGGGGCGACGAGGTCATGTGGCGATCTGCGTGCGACGCGCCGCTGGCCCTCCCAGCGCCCGCGAAAGCGGCGGCGGTTTCGCAGATCGCAGAACCCAATGGGGGCGGGGAGGTCTCGCGGTGACCCACGCGCGACGCTCCACCGCCGGCCCCCCCAAAAGCCAACGAAAGTGGCGAAAATTTCGCAGGTCGCAGCCACAAGGGGGCAGCGAGGTCTCGCGGTGACATGCGCATGACGCGCCTCCGCCGGCCCTCCCAGAGCCCCCGAAAGTGGCGAAAGTTTCGCACATCGCAGCCCCCCAGGGGGCGGCGAGGTCACGAGGCAGGGAGGAGGAAGAGGAGAGGGCGGGAGGAAGGAGGAGGGGGAGGAGGAGGACGACGACGAGGAGGAGGAAGAGGAGGAGGAGGAGGAGGAGGGGGCTGGATGCCTGGACGACCAAATCGATCGGGCCCCCCCGACCGTTCGGCCCAGCGGCCGCAAGGCCGACGCCCGGGCGGGGCTTTCACCCGGCCGCCCTCCCAGCGCCAGCCGAGGCCCCATGAGGCCAACCGAAAAACCGAAACCGCACGCCCCGCCCAGGGCGAAAGCCCACAGGGCCCCCCCCGACAAAAAAGCACAAGTGGACGACCCGAGGGAAAGAGCCCCGCCCGCGCCCCCATCACTCCTGCACGCGCAACCCATCAGCCCATCCTGCTTGCCCATCGCAAAAACGGGCCCGAAGACGAGCACCCGGATGCCCCATCAGCCTGCCACGGCGCGCGCGTCGACGCCCAGACCTTTGAACTCGGCAAGCTCCTGCAACCAGGACATGAAGGCGGCGCGACTCCCACCCATGTCCACCACCATCCTGCGGCACTCGCCGAGCGCGCGCCCCATCAGGCTCTCGGCGTCGCCCCCGTCGAAGGCCGCGGCCTTCTCCGGTGAGGTGCCGTCGGCGCCCTCGAACTCCCCCTTGATCTTGACCTTATCATTGCCGACGTGGCCGTCGAACTCGCTGATCCCCATCGAGGCCTTCTCCTCTGAGATGCCGTCGGCGCCCTCGAACTCCTCCTTGAACTTGACCTTCTTCTTGCCGGCTTGGCCGTCGGACTCGCTGATCTCCATCAGCTCGTCCGCGTAGGCGGGCCCCGTACCCTGCTGCTCAACCGACTCGCCCCCGCACTTCTCAACCGCGAGCTTCGGGAACGGCGCCACCTCGGACAAGTGCGCCTCGGACTTCGCGCACCCCTCGAAACCGTCGACGCCGTGGATCACGCCCGCCGCTGCGTCAGTAGCCAGCCTCCACGCCGCCATCCTCTGATCCCCCACCTTCTCCGCCTTCTAGAACGTCTCGCGGTTGGCACGCGCCACCTCGCTGAAGTCGCACACCTTGACAACCGACTCGAGCGCGCAGCTTTTCAATTCCTCGACGAGCTCCTCCCCCCGGCGCACCGGCGCGCCCAGCCGTCCGCGAACGCGCCGCTCTCTTCATCCGCTAAGCTGAACACCTCAGTGCTGAGCCCGACGGCGGCCCTGAAGTTACCGCCGTCGCAATGGAATGTGGACTCCACGACCTCGCAACCGCGGTCCTGCTGCGACTCAAAGCCCTCGAAGGTGCCAACTGGGGCCAATCCGCCAGATGCGGCTCCTTCTGGTGTTTCTTGCACTTATTTTCCTCACTGCCAGTTTCCTCATGCTTTTACTTCTTCCCCTTCGCGTCCGAAGTCCGAGGCCTGCAACTCGCGCTGGAAGTCGACCCCGCCCACCCCCGCGGCAAGATGACCCAGCGTTGCTGGATGTTCCTCTCCGGTGAACGGCTCTTGCTGCGAGACTTCGCCGTGAGCCTCGTCCTGCGCAGAGCCGCCTGCGGCTCGTCCCAGAGCCCTGGTGTTTGCGAAGGAGGAGCAGACCTGTCCCCCTCGCCGCCGCCACCGAGGCTTCGCCACTGCCACCCTCTTCGCCTGCGGCCTTGCCTCCGAAAGCGCGACTGCTGCCACTGCCGACGCCACCGCCGACGCGACAGCCGCTTCCACGAGGTCGAGCGCAACCGCTGCCCCACCCGAGTGAGAACGGCTGGGCCCCACCACCCCCCAGCGCTTCGATAATCGCCGTGGGGCCGATGATGAGTCGCTGCCGTCGCCCCATGACATGCAATTCTTTACGCTTCGCGTATCCCCACCAGCCCATCTCACAGCAGCAACTCTTGCGAAGCATGCCGACAGTCGTGTTTTTCAGGCGTGTGTCCGCTTGGCCCCGCATATCTCCCCTGTTCCTCCTTCCTCCCGCCTCCTTGTACATCCTCCTTGTGGGGGGAGCGGGAGAAGGACGAGGCGGAGGAGGAGGGAGAGAAACCGCTCCTCGTGATTTGAGTCGTTTGGGGTTTCTCGTCCTGGTGTGAGTCGTTCGGGCCCTTCTTCCTGGTGTGAGTCGTTCGGGCTCTTCGTGGTGTGAGTCGTTCGGGATCTTCGTCCTGGTGTGAGTCGTTCGGGCTTCTCGTGGTGTGAGTTGTTCGGGCCCCTCATCCTGGTGTGAGTCGTTCGGGCCCCTCCTCCTGGTGTGACTCGTCGGGCTCCTCGTGGTGCGAGTCGTTCGGGCCCCACGTCGTGGTGTGAGTCGTTCGGGTTCCTCGTGGTGTGAGTCGTTCGGGCGCCTCGTCCTGGTGTGAGTCGTTCGGGCCCCTCCTTGTGGTGTGAGTCGTTCGGGCTCTTCGTGGTGTGAGTCGTTCGGGCCCCTCGTCCTGGTGTGAGTCGTTCGGGCTCCTCGTGGGGCCTCTTGGGGGCCTCTTGGAGCCTCTTGGGGCCTCTTGGGGGCCTCTTGGGGGCCTCTTGGGGGCCTCTTGGGGGCCTCTTGGGGCCTCTTGGGGCCTCTTGGGGGCCTCTTGGGGGCTTCTTGGGGGCCTCTTGGGGGCCTCTTGGGGCCTCTTGGGGGCGTCTTGGGGGCCTCTTGGAAGCCTCTTGGGAGCCTCCTGGGGGCCTCTTGGGGCCATCTTGGGGCCTCTTGCGACCTCGTCTGAAGCGCAAAGGAGCGCTGCCCCCTGAGAAGGACAAAATGACCCCAAAACCTTCGTAAAATCAATGATTTTGCTATGAAGGAAGATGAGCGCGGCCCCCTTCAGGAGGCCAAAATGGGGCCAAAACCGTAGTAAAATCAATGATTTTGGCTTCAACGAAGAGGAGAGGGGCCAAACTCCCCCCCCCGTCGGGGCCAGAATCCTCGTGAGGGTCGTCGTTTTTTGGCCCTCCCAGGAGTCGAAAAAGACCCCCCTGACACCGCTCGGGACTCCCTCTCCAGGTCCAGGGGAGGGGGTAGGGGGAGGGGTAAACCCCTCCCCGAAGGGGAAGAAGGGGGGTTGAGGACAGAGAGGGCTCTCTAAACCACTCACGCCCAAAGGGCTGGTGGGACTCCAGACTTTGGCTCCTGGAGGCTGCGCCAATTTCAAGCGCGCTCCCATAAGACCCCCCCAATTCGGGCCGAATGGGGCTTGAGACAAAATGGCTCGAGCCAAAAAGGTCCCGGAGGAGGAGGAGGGAGAGAGAAGGAGGAGGAGGAGGAGGAGCAGGAGGAGGAGGAGCAGGAGGAGGAGGAGGGGGAGGAGAAAAAGAGGGAGGTGAAGACCACAGTGCTCTATTTCAAAACGAATACCCAACACAGGAGGTTTGGGAAACAATCCATACAACATGCACCTCGCGGCTAAGTCTGGATCATGCGCGGCCATCCCGCGATCACTGTCAAATGGTTTTCGACAAGGACCGTGGGGGCGGTGGCGCGTGGCCCGCTGGGCGCAGGCCCACCAGACACAATGATGGGCACTGGTTTTCGACAGGGATGGCGGGGGCCGACATGATTCCCGATGTGTGCTGTCACGCGCGCGCCCTGCACCTGCCCCGAACATGGCGCACATGGCGCGGCTGGAGTGTGCGGCGCACCTGGCGCACTCGGAGCACGTGGCGCATCTGGCGCACCGGGCGTGCCTGGCACGTTCGGGCCCCAGGGGTGCCTGGCGCGCGTGGCGCCCCTGGCACGCGTGGCGCACCTCACCCAAGCGTCGGGCACCTGGGGTCGGCTTTGGTTCCCAGTAGCTACCCATCCAAAGACGACGCTGAACATGCTCAGGCTCGGGTGTTACTGATGTGTCGGGAGGGCGGGTGGGAGTGAGCTAGACGGCTTGCGGGCGGGTGGGTAGCTCAACCCCTCCCCCGACCCGCTCCCCTGGACCTGGACGGGGGGGGGGGTCGCGAGGTGTCAGAGGGTCATGTGTCGCCTAAGGTGGCTCCAAGAGGGCCTCAGAAGAGCCCAAGATAGCCTCCAAGATCGCTCGAGATAGCCCAACATGGCTCAAGATAGCAAGTAGCATGCCTCCAAGAGGCCCCAAGAGGGCCACAAAACGGTTCCAGGTGCTTTTGGCGACCCCTCAGGACCTCCCCGAGAAGCCCAAAAACTTCAAAACCTTTGGAGCGTTACTGATTGTTGCCTTCTCGCCTTGAGGCCTCAAGATGGACCTTAGATGGCCCAAGAGAGCTCCAAGAAGGGCCCGAGAGGCCCCCAAGACTGCCCCGAGAGCGCCAAAGATCGCTCCAAGAGGGCCCCAAAAGCGCCTCAAGATGCCATTTCGATGGCCCCCGAAGGGGTAGGGAAATCTAGGACCCCCCCTCCTTTGATCGATGGTCTCCAAGATGGCCCCAGGAGGCGCTCCTTAGCTCCCAAGAGGGCCCCAAGAGAGCCCCAAGAGGGCCCCATGAGGACCCCAAGACCCCCCAAAAAGCTCCAAGAGGGCCCCAAAACAGCCCAAGATGCCCCAAAAGAGCTCCAAGACGACCCCAATATCATCCAATACAGCCCCGTAGCTCCAAGAAGGCCTCCGACGCTCCAATATGGCCTCCAAAATGGCTCAACACCCTCCTCCCTCTCCGCTCCTTGCACGCTCTGTTTCACTATGTGCAGCCCTTCTCTCCTTTCCCGTCAGCTCTTATGGGCAGGACTCCTGAATGGGCTGGTGGGGTTTCTTTTGATCGCGACCGCGGCGAAAAGGTCGGGTGGCGTCATAAAAGGCTGTGCAGACAAGCAACGGCCTAAATCAGCGCAAAGGAAGAGGACGGGCTGGTGGGGATTCGCGAAGCGTAAACAATTCACCCGGTGCGTAGCTCACCCGGTACATATTTCACCCGGTCGCTAACTCACCCAGCCAACCCTTCCAACATGATCCCACGACCCCTAGGAGTGCCCGGAGGCACCCGACGGGCCCCCAAGAGGCCCTACGACGCACCCCAGTGGACTGCGGATGCCCCCAGAAGCCCGCCAAGAAGCCCCCACGGAACCCCAAACGGTACATGGTCCCAAGGCCTTTAGGTGACCCACAGCAAGTGGCGACCCACACATTGAAGCGGCCGCTGCCTCTTGCCCCCGTCGCCCTTCTGCCCAAGCTGTCTCCTTCTCAGGGTCGACGGAAACGGCAGCAAGGCTTTTGTAAGAGTCCCTCCACATCACCCTCCCCCTCCTCCTCCTCCTCCTCCTCCTCCTCCTCCTCCTCCTCCTCCTCCTCCTCATCATCATCATCATCCTCGTCCTCCTCCGTATCATCGCCCCCATGCTCCAATTCATCATCCAGTTCCTCCTCCAGGTCCTCCTCCACCTGCTCCACGCCCTCCCCCTCCCCCGTCAATCACGCTGCTCATCCTCATCCTCCTTCAGCTCCCCCTCCCCTTCCTTCACCTCTTCAACCGACCCTCCAACTTCCCCGCCAGGTTATTATCATCCCTCCTCATCCACATCTCCCATCATTTTTCCTCGTCATCCTCCTCGCTCCTGTCACTCCTTCCGCTCCGAGTCTCCCGTTCCTGACCCTCCGCCTCCACATCCCTCCCCCTCCTCATCCCTCTCAACCACCCTCCTCCTGCTGCTCCTCCTCCTCCTCCTCCTTCCTCCTCCTCCTCCTCCTCACCCTATGTTTTCTCATTTCCTTGCTCCCCCACCTCCTCCCCCTCCTCCCTTTCGCCCCCCCCCTCTCCTCCCGTTCTGCCATGCTCTGGTATGGCAGTCCACGACGTTGCCTCAGTAGCGACAATACAGCGCGCACGCAGGCAACGCGTCCCCGCCTTCGATACGGGGGCCCCCTTCACCTTTGGCGCCGCGGGGGGCCAGCGGAGGAGGGCAGGAGGGGGGGACGATATAGAAAGGAGCGAGGAAGGAAGGGAGGGAGAGGGAGAGGGGGAACAGAAGGAGGAGGAGGAGCAGGAGTAGAAGGAGATGGAGGAGGAAAAGCAAGAGGAGGAGGAGGTGTGGGAGAAGGGAGGGGGAGGTGCAAAAAGGGTGGGGTAGGGAGGAGGAGTGACAAAGGGGAGGGAAGAGAAGACGACATCATAGCACGCAGCACTTTTCCCAACCACGTCCCCATTACTCTTCGCGCCCCCGACACAAGCACGGTGGTGGGATGAGCCGCAGGCCGCTGAAGGCTGCAACCCATTCACGTCAGAACTACATGTATACACATATGCGACTATGTATCGCCTGGGGATAGAGGACGACATGCCGCACTGAAGTGCGTACAGTCGTGATGGATTCCACATGCGTGTGAGAGCACACTAGGAGTTAACATCCGCACGCACACACACACACACACACACACACAAACCTTTGGCGTCGCGGTGGACCGCAGCGACGAGGCGAAGCTAATCGAACAAAGAGAGACTACCCAATGCGCGGCGGGCCCCTCAAAGAGAGGGCAAGGATCCACATATGGATCGACCGTGCCATCCGCGTGCCCCGGGCCTGGGCAGCGGGAGAGGACCCCGAAGACCCCACCACCTCCTTCTCCCCCTCCTCCTCCTGCTCCCCCTCCTCCTCCTCCTCCTCATCCCCCTCCTCCTACTCCTCCTCCTCCTCCTCCTCCTCCTCCTCCTCCTCCTCCTCCTCCTCGTCCTCCTCGTCCTCCTCGTCCTCCTCGTCCTCCTCCTCCTCCTGCCCCTCCTCCGAGGACGACAGGCGGAGGCGCAGTGCACCCTGAGCGGGTGTGGGCGAGCAAGGTGGCGAGCGCCCGAAGGAGGAGATGCGGGGACCAGCGCGAGAGGGCAGTGCGTAAGGAACGCTCGCCGCCAGGGAGTCGGCAAGCCTGGGGCGCGAGGAAGCCAGCGCAAGACAGGGCCCCGGGT